TGCACTCACAAAATTGGTTGGTAAATTCAACGAGTGGGTGCATCGACCTGGTATATCAAGTTTCTGCAATTTTTTACGGCAAATCAGTAGATTTTCGGGATGTAGATTGCTTACTTTCAATTCATGAATGAATAAAGCAACGACATGGTTGAACTTCTTTGCATGGAAAGACGTTTAAAATAACAAAATCAAGACGTATTTAATGCAATTGCATTTATATCGAGTCAATTTCTTTTCAATAATATAACGGGATTTTTACTACCGGTGATTTGGGTATTTTAGCCCCAAAATACCTTTAAATCGACTTTATCTTCTAGGAGTTCGACAGAATTTTTCCTTTCTTCGCTTAAATTATTCCGTAGCACTTTTCTTCAAGAATCTGATAAGATTTTGCTTGAGGCAGATCAAAAAACTTAAATTCGATCGAATAGCTTTCTACTTTCACAATACACGGTCTCGTCAAGGTGCGTCTTTGACCTCGCAGTGTTGGATCGTGAATTCTCTTTTTATGCTGTTTGCCTATTTTGAAATCTCTGTAAATGAAAACTAAAGGGGTTGATATGTGCGAGTTAATGACGCGCCTTATCAACACATTGTGTTGGAGTTCACTGCTTGTTTTTAATTGCATTTTTGATAAAGTCAAAGGTAAGTAGATATTGCCGGAAATTTGCAAATTGTCGAAATGTTCTTTTGATGAATTGATATAATTTGTATTGGCCCAATGCCCTGGTAAAAATTGGCGATAGAAGCTGCGTTTCAAAATACCATAGGAGTTCTTATAGCCGACTAAAGAAGGCTTTTGAAAAAGAAAGCGGAGCAAATCATAAAGCCGGGCTATACGAAGCTATAAAAAAGTATACAGTCGGGCTATAGTTCCTATCGCCGGGCTTTACACTTTATCACCATTGGCTATAAAAGGCTAAAAGAAATCGTGTAGAAATTCGTGTGCTTTGGATATTATTAAGTTTGATACGGAACTACCTTAATATTTACAGAACACACTTTATATTTTCCTTTAAAACATTTTTTTTTCATAAATTAAAATGAGAATAGTCCATACAGAGTGTGCAAACGTTTCAAAATCATGAGTTGAAAAACGCTGACTACGCGAGATTAAATATTAGAGCCTAACTCAAAGCGGAGCGGCGACGCACTGGCGCCTACAAACCTAACAGGGATACTTCACGCATTGCGCAATGCGTGAAGTATCCCTGTTAGGATTGTAGGCGCCAATGCGCGTTTCGCGCTCTCTGCCCGCCCGCCGCGCCGCAGCGTGCCACGGCCTAAAGCAACTATTTCACACCAGAGGTATTGCACAGTATCATAAGAAGGCGCTCCAACATATTAAGAATGACAGGCATCCTTCAAAAGTACGGAGCTTTCCTCGCAAAATAAATCAAGATACTACGGCACAAAAAGAGAGCGGTAGTCCAAAAACTAACTAGGTCCTAGTATCCATAATTAGTAACGTTTATCATAAACTTCATCGTCTGGCTGTTGCTTAGTCGTCATCAGCTATAAAAGGCTATAAGAAATTGTACAGCCGGTTACAGTAGCTATTGTAAATCTTACAGCCGACTTTAGGTCTATAGTATTTTGAAACACACATTCTACTGCCAATTTTTACCAGGGGAATTGTGGTGGTAATGACCTACAAAAGCACGACCTGGGCCGTGGGGTGCCTTCATTTTACGAAACGAAAAAGTTCAAGTGTGGTTTCATTGGTTTTTCGTGAAATTTTCTCTCTGAAACATCCATTGAAATTGAAAGTATGAAAAAATCAACACCAAAATTTGAAATTTTAACCAAAAATTTCGTGTCCGACCTCTTATTGTGTGCCGTCAAGAGGAGCATGCATACATTAGTTTAGTACACTTTCAGTTTTAGTTACATACACTTTCTTCATCCCCAGATGTCTCATATCAAGAGTAATCTAACTAACTAAAATGTCGCTCTTATGGCGCTTTTGTGCGCTCTGCGACACCCAACCACTACTGATAGCGACCCTGTCAGAGCTCTTCCGGCAAATCGCGTCTCCTCATTTCCTGCCTCACTCCATCAATCCACTATTTAGCGGAGCCAACCAGCCACCATTTGTTCTATCAACCAAGTCTTTTTGATTGATCTGACACCCCCCTCCCCCCCCCTAAAGAGACTCAAATTAACCATCAAAACGAAAATTCTTAACTGCACGGGGCATTTTCGGACCTTGTTCGCTGTCTGGGAAACGAGAAGGATTGCAGAATTATGCGGTCATGTTGTCAGCATTAAAAACCTTAACGACCGTTAAAAAGTTGCCGCTTCAGCGTGGAGTCCGTTTTAATTTTCATATTTTCCCTGTCTCAACGAAGGGAGCGGGAAGGGGGTAGCCTCGGCCGATATTAAAGTTATAAAAGTCGGCGGGCAAGCCGTCCGCGGCCCAAGACGCACCCCCTACCCCCTCCCCTCGTTCCTCCCTTAATTGCAGGCAAGGGGCGATTCACGCCCTGAAAATGTAACTCGATCGCCGGAGGATTTGCTTAAAATTCAACGGCACCGCGAAAACTTTGCTCATAAAATATTTTTATTAAAAAGGAATAAGTTGCTTTTATGTTCCGGCCGAACTTTCGCCATTTGCCGCAAAGCAGCTTGAGGCTCGTATTGCCTTTCAGGACGTTGTTCTTAGACTTCTTCAGCCGGGTTTCTTTCGGTTTTTTCGGTGTCGCAGCCGAGGGAAAAACAAGAGGTCGTGGTCGGTCCACTTTCTGTGGCCTTTTTTTTGTCTCATTTGATGACGTCACCGGGTGGGTATCAAGATTTGCGACGCTTTAGAATTAGGACTGTGTGTCCATCGAATATATGCGAGCACTGTGGTTTTTATAATATTTGTTTATTTTCTGAAATGTTCAAGAATGTTTCAACTTTTAAGCCAACTCTAGATTTTTATCACGTAATTTTTATAATTTTTATGTAACATTACACCATTTGAACACCACGTAATGCTGTAGTTCTGTAAATTTTGAATATTTTGAGTCTTCGAGCGGTGGTGCGTGGCCTCAAGATGCATAAATCTGTTCATCTGAATGTTCTCTCATAGTTAAATTCAATTTTTTCCGGCATCTAGACATGATCAAACTAATATTCTTTTCATCCTTGAATATTATATGTTTTTGAAGTATGAAGTCCTCGAATATCGTTGAATTTTCAGAAATTAATCAAATATACTCGGTCGTCTTTGGATTGCGTATCATCCGGTTATTTTGGTCTCAGTTTTTCTGAAAAGAGCGCCCTTGAATCAATACCATAAATAATACAAATGACAACCAACTCTTTACAGCGGTAGAGCAAGGGAAAGGACTCGCGTTGCTACGGCGCAATGATACAACTATTTGAACTTGATGGATGTCCGTGTTGTATCTGCAAAATTGAAGGCGCGGTGGCGCGCGGCGCGTAAACTTGCAATGTCCTTTCCTTTTGATTTGAAAACTTTCAAAATGCCTGTTACTCCTGTCTGCACGTCACACAGTTGCAAGTTCAAGTATCGGCAGCAGACAGTGAAGTTGTATGAGAAGAAAACTTCCATGCTTGAAGCATTATCATATTCTGTAAAGAGTCTAAAATTTATTTTTTTTTTTTTTGAATATCCTTTCCCAAAACGTAACAACGCACGCGTGCAGAACACAGCACATTCTGTTGTTTTGCCGAACATGCAATGAAAAATTCAATAACATATGGACTACATTTTGCAATTTGGACCTATGGATTCTAGCCTGGTTTAAAAACAATGTATGTGCCATTAGTTTCCCTATGCACATGAGTGTTTTTCCAGAAGAGCCAGAATTTATAGTTCCAAAATGTAGTCCATATAGTCTGAGGTAAAATTCGTCGACATTGAATCATCCGTGAAATTTTTAAAAGTCTTTTGAATGATCCTTGACAATGTTGCTAAGAGTGGAAACTTCGCGCCGTGAAATTTTTCGCTCAGACCTCACGAGGTCCATATCCATATTCTCAAAACTACCATTGGGCGTCATTTTGCAATTACGAACTACAATTTATGGCTCATTCTAAAAAACACTCATGTACATGGGAAACTGACGGTACCCACTTTGTTTTTAAACTGAGTCGGAAATTGTAGTTCCCAATTGCAAGACGCAGTCCAATTTTGCCCTTACGGCTCTCTTTGGAGTCTTTGGCAACACGGGGTTTCTAGTGATGGCACCCCCTGTACGAAAAAACACCCCACGACACGTCGCCGAAGGCACACCTTAAATATTCGCTGCAATTTCACAGGTCGTCGGTCGAATCATCTCAACTGCGGCGGACACGGGGGTCATGGGGTTTTCCTGGGGGACGAGATCCCCTCGCCGCTCCGCGCCGGGCCATCCGCGCTCCGCTAGGCCGTCGCTCGGGTCGAGCCCGTCGGAATCAGTCGAGTCGCTCGGCTCCTCGAGAGGGGCGCGCGGCCCGGCCACCCCTCGCAGCTCGTCCCCCACACAAAACCCCACATCTGCAATATATACTCCATGGACGATGCGATGTTTTGGCTTAGCCCGGGGGGGTTGGGGGAGGGGGCTCGGCGCAGGCGCGGGGTGGCGCG